GTCGGGAGCCGTGCGCCTACCCTGGGAGGCCTTCTCCCTCCGTGTACCCCTCCTGCCTTTCATTTTCCTCTCGCTCGTCTGAGCTGAGGAACGAGACTCGCCTGCAGCGGATTCTGGGAGTAACTTAAGCATTTTTTTCATGCCTTTGGAATTGTAGAGCTCTAGCCCTTTGCGTTGATTTCTATCTAATATTAAAAAGAAGCCTCAGACCCGGGGGTCGAGCGTGAAATGTTACCGCATGGTAGTGTACGGAAGGAAGTGGGGGGGGGTTGGGGGTCTCCCGATCGAGGGCTACTCCAGGCACCGTGTATTGTATGCACAGACTGGCCCTGGTGAGGACTGCTCTTCGCTTTGAAACTCCGTAGTTTTTATACTTTTTTCAAGAAGCAAAAATCAGGGGGGAAAAATGAGAGTCCGCTGCCTACTATGCTCCTATTGAGGTTTAGAAACACCCAGCGCAGCCGTCCCACTAACTCTACAGCGCTGTGCAGACCAAACAGGGGAAATGGGTTATTGGGGTTTTCCAGGCTGCGACCATTATTATACACCTGAAAGTTAGTTGTTGTAACTGAAATAGAGACCTGGGCCTGGTCTTGCATAGCCCTAAGCTAAGAATGCCTCTTTTTAAAATATGTTATTTTTTTAATTGATTTCAGAGAGGAAGGGAGAGGGAGATAGGAACATCAATGATGAAAGAGAATCATCGATTGGCTGCCTCCTGCACACCCGACACTGGGGATGGAGCTCACAACCCGGGCATGTGCCCTGACCGGGAATCGAACCCGGGACCTCTTAGTCCATAGGATGACGCTCAATCCACTGAGCCACACCGGCCGGGCTGTCTGAATTGTCCTTAAACTTCCATGCTTAAGTTGTCCCATCGGCAGGGGTGTGAGCAAATGATTGTGGGACACAAGATGTCCTTTTATTCCTTGAGTCAGCCAAAACGTACATGCGCACACACACACTCACACACACACACAGACACACACACACACACGCATGTATGTATGCATGTATGGCTGTATTTGCTGCTGATTCAGACTTGTGAACAGGGAATGGGAGAAAGCATGGGCACAAAAGCAGATCAAAGGAGGTGTGGCTTCCTCTTCCTGTTAACACTTCCTAGGACAATCAGATTTCCATTGGATTGTACGCTAGACACGATCTGAGGGGTATCTGAACACACATACCTGAGGACCATCTGAAAACAAAACATGAACCTCTTTCAAAACCTGTTTTGAAATCTGTGCAACCAACCGGTTCAATCCGCAGTCTTTCAGGGAAATATCAGCCAAGGGCTGTGCTGCGTGGTGGGGGGCGGAGGGGGTGTCCGGGGTGACCACCGGGAGCAGGGTGGGTGCAGAGACCACAGCCCCTGGCTCAGCTGGTCTCACTTTCAGGCAGTGAGCAAACCACATGTTTGTGAAACACCCCGTTCTTCAAGGTGGCACCAGGCTTGTGAATGTCCTTGGGTCAAAGCCAGTCCCAAAGCCACGCCCAGAGCCAGTGTGGGGGGGACGGGGAGGGGGTTGCACAAGGACCTGACCCCTGGGCCCCCCGGGGGATGAATTGGAGAAAGGAAGGCTCAGGCTGCCGGGGCTGGTGAGGCCCATGATGCACGCCCGTCGAGGATAAACAGAGGCGGATCTTCTGTGTTATCTTGTCCACGGAGAAGCCAGGACGTCTGGTGGTGAAAGGGGTACTCGTCGCCTGTGTTATCTTCAGGAGGGAATGACTCTGACAATGGTTGACACACTAGGTCGCCTCAACGCTCCGTGGAATCTTACTTCTCTGGGGAGAAAGCACATGAAAACGAGTGAAAATTGGCAGCTCGCGGAGCACGCGCAGACAGCTGGATGACGTCGTAGAGTGTGGATGCTTCCACTGTTCCCATCTGCTCCCCATTCCAGCAACAGGGGCGGAGTTCTGCTATCTTTGGGCGAATGCAGTGATTTAGAGCACAGAGTAGATAAAACCCTTTTAGCCCTAGCCGGTTTGGCTCAGTGGATAGAGCATCGGCCTGCGGGCTCAAGGGTCCCAGGTTCGATTCCGGTCAAGGGCATGTACCTTGGTTGCGGGCACATCCCCAGTGGGAGGTGTGCAGGAGGCAGCTGATCGATGTTTCTCTCTCATCGATGTTTCTAACTCTCTATCCCTGTCCCTTCCTCTCTGTAAAAAAATCAATAAAATATATTTTAAAAAATAAAAATAAAACCCTTTTCAACACCTTCTAGGAAAAGGATCTCCACCGTCAGCATGATTATCAGGCATCTATGCCCCGCAAAACTGGAACTAGTCTTAACCACCTGAGAAGGGCCCAGTTCCCAAAGCCATGGAATTGGCTTACAGAACAGGGTGGTCGTAGGCCCGCTCCCGCCCTACAGGCATTTTCATGGGTGGCTGTGCCCGCAATGAGACTCTGATTTTGACCGTCTGTTGCTGTCCTTCTTGCCTTGCCCTGTCGTCACCGTGGAGACAGCAGCTTGCCTTTCTCTCGCACATGCGCCTTGTCATATGCCCACATGGGGGACTTCAGCGAGAGCAATTGCTCTCGGGCAATGCCCTTGGGGGCGCCGTGTGGCCCACAGCGGGGGTGGGGGGGTGGGGAACCCCAGGATGGACTCCAGGCTTCCCGGGATCTGGTCCTGCCTTTGCCACTGACCTCTCACCAGTTAGAGGACGAGTTCCATTTCTTTGGGCTTTTCACTTCTTCCACCTCCCGAGGACCTGAGGTTGTGAAAACCCCCATTGTGCCTTTTCTCTACCGTGTCGAGATCATCCCACTGCTTTCCAGCTTTGATCTCCACAGACTGAGGCGTTGTCGCCCTCAGCAAAATCAACAGCAAGGTCATAAATGAGTGGTTCTCACCCACGCCCAGGACAGGACGTTTCTGCGCAGACACGGAAGGAGACACGTGAAGCGCGCGCGTGGCAGGCCCGTCCTGGGTCCATGTGAGTGTCTCCAGGGAGACGGACAATCTCCCACTTTCTCCCCCGGGAGCAGTTCAGTGAGTGGTCTTTTCATTCATCGAAACCGGTTAAAGAGCCCTGACCAGTTTGGCTCAGTGGATAGAGCGTCAGCCTGTGGACTGAAGGGTCCCAGGTTCGATTCCGGTCAAGGGCATGGACCTTGGTTGCGGGCACATCCCCAGTAGAGGGTGTGCAGGAGGCAGCTGATCGATGTTTCTCTCTCATCGATGTTTCTAACTCTCTATCCCTCTCCCTTCCTCTCTGTAAAAAATCAATAAAATATATTTTTTTAAAAAAAAACATAAAACGGTAAAAGAGCCCTAGCACAAACCCCGGTTGCAGGTTCCCCGGCCCTGCTCGGGTGTGTGCAGGAGGCAACCAGTCGCTGTGTCTCTCTCACATCCCTGTTTCTCTCTGCCTCTTCCTCTCCCTTCCACTCTGTCTATCAATCAATGGAAAAATATATCCTCCAGTGAGAATTAACAAAACAAAAAAAAAAGAAAGAAAAGAAAAGAAAGGGGGAGGGGGAGATTCAGATAGTACAAAATAGAGAAAATAGTGACGTTGATGAGAGTGAGCGTTTGCCATGAGACGTAGTTGGTTGTATTATGCAACCTCTGTCGGAAACTCAATGCCTGGAGTCCTTGCCCTTCGAGAACTTACTCTGCTGCTCACAGAAAGCCCGATCGAGATAAGCATGTTCCCTCTCAGATGTGCTCTCCCTGAAACTTCCCAAGCTCATTAGTCTCTCCCGGGGAGACAGAGTTATCTGGGATTGCAGCAATAACAATTAACTTCTTAACAATTAACCTCGCCACAGTTTAAACAGGATCGCCATATCATCAACTGACAAAGACATGTCAGTCCCCGGGGCGCTTAGGAACTGGGGGACCTTGATCCCCGACGCCCCACGTGGGGCACAGATTCTGCCGGTCGAATGATCGGATGCGTAACAGACGTTGGAAAGCTATCGCCCTGCGTGTGACTGCTGTGGAGCGGGGCGGAGAGGATGAGTCATCGGACAAGAAGCCGGGCGTGGACACGACCGTTAGCAACGGCTCATTTTCATGTTTTCTAAATCACCAAGTGAATATACTCTCATTGTCAGACTATGGAAAGCCCGGCCGGTGTGGCTCAGTGGTTGAGCGTCGACCTATGAACCAGAAGGTCTCGGTTCGATTCCCGGTCAAGGGCACATGCCCGGGCTGTGGGCTCGATCCCCAGTGTGGGGCGTGCAGGAGGCAGCCGGTCCATGATTCTCTCTCCTCGTGGATGTTTCTCTCTCTCTCCCCTTCTCCCTTCCTCTCTGAAATCAATACAAATATATTTAAAAGAGAGAGAGAGAGAGAGAGAGAGATGGAACTTGTCAGTTGTAACTCTAACAGGCATTTATCTAAATCCAAACACTACGATCTGTTCTTGAGAGACGTGAACACCACGTGGCTGTCCTCCTGCTCTCTCAGCTGGTTTCCATGAAGCCCTTTCGCCCTCACCTCTACTCTACTCTCAAGGAAACCCGCGCCTCCGAGTGGCTCAGGGACGGACACACTTGTGCCTTCGATGAATCAGCGGCTGGGCTGGGTGCCAAGTTCGCGTTTGCAAACGGCCTCGTTGCATCTGCTGGGCTACATCAGGGCCTGCGGGGCGGCCAGCCGCGTGCACACGCGTGTCCTTGCTGCGCCCTGGGAGAGAGCGACGTGCCGCCCGGGGTCGCTTTCCCATCAGTGTCACTATGTGCTCGGTCCCCCAAACTCGGCCGCTGGTGGGGATTTCTGTCTCGAGAGGGAGTCGTTGAGTGGGTTCTTTGTCATAGGGATGCATGCGCTTCTACATCGAATATGGTAAAAGGGGAGAAGGCATTGATTGGGTCAGTGCCTGGCGGGGGGGCTGGAGGGGAGAAGTGGGGAGCGAGGATTGTCCTGCGTCTTCTTCCCGGGGCTGTGGACCTGCATTCAGTCTGCTACCTCCTCTCCCCCCAAAAAACTGTGATTTTTATGAATTACTGTTTAGGTCACAACCATATGCTCCTTCGCAGAGATTTGTATAGCCTCTGTGCGGTCCTCGGTGTGTGTGTGTGTGCGTGTGTGTTCAAATATATATATTTTTTATTGATCTCAGAGAGGAAGGGAGAGGGAGAGAGAGATAGAAACATCCATGATGAGAGAGAATCACAGATCAGCTGCCTCCTGCATGCTCCCCACGACTGGGGATCGAGCCCGCCACCTGGGCATGTGCCCTTGACCAGAATGGAACTCGGGACCCCTCCGGCTGGCAGCTATCCACTCAGTATGGGTGGATGTCACAAAGACAGCGTTGAGCAAAGGAACCCAAACCCGGAAGCTGTGTCATCTCATTGATTCCCTTACAGAAAAAACAATCGGCAAAGCGAGTCTGCGGGACTAGAGAGTGGTCATCCGTGGGGGTGGGGTGGGGAGGTGGCAGGAAGGCGGACAGCCGGGGCCCTGGAGCTGCTCTGCTTCTGGTCCCGGGAGGTGGTCACGTGAGCCTGTGCACTTGTAGTGAGGTCCCTGCATGTGGTGTAGGTTTCTGCCAACAGGATGCACTACAAGAAGTTTGAGAAGGGAAGTAACCTGTCCTGGCCGGCGTGGCTCCGTCGGTTGAGCGCCGTCCTGTGAACCGAAAGGCCACCGTTCGATCCCCAGTCAGGGCACCTACCCAGGCTGTGGGTTTGGTTCCCAGTTGGGGTGCATACTCTTTCTATTTAATAAAAAAAGGGGGGGGAGAATAACCAAAAAACGAGAGAGAAAGAAAAAATGAGCATGTTTAGTCACATAAGTGATTTCATTGAATTTGCTGACAACAGCCCATGGAGGAGGCATGTGGGGGGCTGGGCCTGGGCCAGCCCCCAGAGGTGCACTTGGGTCCCTGTGCTTGCTCTGGAGTTGAGAAGGGTCCGGCCCACTCGTCTTCTGAGGCAGGTTTATCAGAACCTGTATCTAGCCCTAACCAGGTTGGTTCAGTAGGCAGAGCGCCGGCCTGCGGACTGAAGGGTCCCAGGTTCGATTCTGGTCAAGGGCATGTACCTTGGTTGCGGGCACATCCCCAGTAGGGGGTGTGCAGGAGGCAGCTGATCGATGTTTCTCACTCTCTATCCCTCTCCCTTCCTCTCTGTAAAAAATCAATAAAATGTATTTTTTTAAAAAGAACCTGTATCTAAATGCATTCTCTCCCCAGTTGATTCCAGCTCAGGGCACATGCCCAGGTGGCAGACTCCATCCCCAGCAGGAGGCAGCCAATCAATGTCCCTCTCTCGTCCATGTGTCTATCTCTCTATCCCTTTCACTGCCTCTCTCTCTCAAATCAATAAAAACATATTTCTAAAAATAAATAAATACAATAAAATAAAAACGCCGGCACCAGCTACGAGGAGGAAGCCAGGGACCGTGCCGATCGGGGTCCCAGGGCACAGAAGGCCCCCGAGTGTCTCGCTGCGGGAATGTGGGGAGAATTGTCTGTTTCGGTTCTGGATGCTTTTCACTCCCATGACGTTGCAGGCCTCCTGAGCAGCGGTTTTCCCTGGAGTGGGGAGCCCTGCATGTCCTCAAACTTGGGCAGGCGTTGGGCACCCCAGCGAGGTCGTGAAATGCAGATTCCTTGGTTCCCCTTCCAAGGAGTCCGGACTCAGGAAGCCTGGGGCGTGGCCCGGGAATCTGCATTTCCTCCGAACACACACAAGGAAAGCCTGGTGCCTCGTTCCGTGGTCCTCACTGGGGGACATTCTACCCCGAATGAACTCTGGGAAAATCACTTACCAGATTAAGGGACGTGTTTCGTTCTAAAGACCTCCTCCCACCCCTGTGGGTGGAGATGCAGGGGGCAGACGGGTGCAGGAGTGTGTGTGGTCCCCACGGGGTGGCTCACTTTCAGGAGCCAGACCAGTGACGGCGAACCTTCTGAGCCCGGCGTGCCAGCATTTTGAAAAACCCTCACTTCACTCTGGTGCCGTGTCACCTATAGAAATGTTTTGATCTTTGCAACCATAGTAAAACAAAGACTTATATTTTTGATATTTATTTTATATATTTAAATGCCATTTAACAAAGAAAAATCAACCAAAAAAATGAGTTTGCGTGTCACCTCTGACACGGGTGTCATAGGTTCGCCATCACTGAGCCAGACACACAGTAGGAGCCCCGGGGACATGGGACCAGGCGAGTTGGATGGATAGGAAATGACCAGAAAGAAGCGCGTCTATTGACGCGGTTGCATGGACGTGTCGAGCGTGAGCGGAGGAGCCAAGACACAGCGGATACTCAACGAATGGCACGGAGACCGCGCTGGTGTCTGGGTTCAGCTCAGGATGTCCTGGGAAGAGGGGCCAGGGCGGAAGAAGGGGTTGCCGGATGCCAGACCCCCATCCGGGGCCCTGTGTCCCCTTCGCGTGGCCATGGCCCTGCCTTCGGTGGGGCTCACAAGTGTCTCCTTCATTGGGAAACGCCGTGGTCAGCAGCCGGGTGGAGCTGCACTACGATCGGAGGCCGTATTTTCAAAGTGGGGGGAGTAGGAGGGGGCAGGGGGAGGCTGTCAACATTGACCAGATCAGCGGTTCTCAACCTGTGGGTCGCGACCCCTTTGGCGGTCGAACGACCCTTTCACAGGGGTCGCCTCAGACCACCCTGCATATCAGATATTTCCATGACGATTCATCACAGTAGCAACATGACAGTGATGAAGTAGCCACGAAAAGTATTGTATGGTTGGGTCACAACACGAGGAAGTGTATTTGAAGGGCCAGAGGGTTGAGAACCGCTGGACCAGATGGACCTGTGCAAAAGCCAGCTCCTCTGGGCGCCCCCGGAGAATGAAGCCAAAATAATCACCAAGTCCAAGTCCAACCACAAAGGACAAAGGCTCCTTGTGTTTCCGAAGTCTGCCTTCTCTCGGGCGGAAAGTAACCCCATCAGATGGGCTCCTTTACTCTTTAAGAATGTCAGCTCTCCAGGGACGCGCCGCCAGGGCCAGGGCCGGGCCGGGTGAGCTGGGAGCCGCTCCCCAGGGCCCTGCCAATGCGGGGGACAAAAGCGCCCAAGCAGACGGGGTGACATAGAGCGAGAACCCCCGTGAGAACCGCCCTGTAGTTCCAGGTGTGCGTCTGGGCTGCGATTCAAGCCGTAGAGACGGGAAGGAGGGGGATTGTAGTATGTTTTATGGCTTTATCCTCGCTCGGTCCTCCTGCTGCTCATCCCCTCTGCTCGGGGGAAGCTGGCTGTGTCTCCACGCCGCGTGTGACGGATGGCGGCGTGGGTCGTGTTTTAGGGGTGGGCACAGCTCAGCCAACAATTGCCTAAAGACCCAAGGCCCGTCCGTCAGAGAAAGACACGTATCCCAGGATCTCACTCACATGTGGAGTCTAAGGAACAAAATAAACGGATGGACGGAGTGGATGCAGAGACACGGAGGCATGGAACAGAGTGGGAACCTCGGAGGGAAGGCGGGGGAGGGC